GACCTCCCGCTGCCTGTGAGATGGGTGTGAGCCCCCCGTGGCTGTGCCGGGCGGCGCAGAGCCCTGCGCTGCTGCTTTCTGGTCTGCCTGCCCCATGGGCAGTGATCTGTCTGCTGGGAGGTGGAGGCCTTCCCGGCTGTAATTGTTTCCTTTTCACCTTGACTCCAGCATTTGTTGCTGGCACCGTCAGACGTTGCCGGCTGGGGGACTTTCATCAAGGAATCTGTGCAGAAGAACGAGTTCATCTCCGAGTACTGCGGTGAGGTAAGTGCTTCTGCCCGTGCTGGGGCTGAGGTGCTGGGTGCCCGAGAGGCTACGTTTAGTGCAAATGTCTCCTTCTGCCGCTGCTCCAGCGGGGACAGCATGGCTTCCCCAGCTCAGACATGGGCTTGCTCTGACCACGTTCAGAAATTGAATCCTGTGCAGTTTTGGGACCCATTTCAGTACCTCCCGGCCCTCTACTGTGTATCTGCTGCTGCCTTGGAGTGCTGGCGAGTTCATGCCCATGGGGTGGGGTGCAGGAGGGGGTCCCCAGGGCAGGCCAGTGCCTCCTGGCTGTGCCCTCACACGCTGAGTCTCTCAAGGCATTCTCCTTCTCCAGCTTATTTCACAGGATGAGGCTGACCGACGAGGGAAGGTCTATGACAAGTACATGTCCAGCTTCCTCTTCAACCTCAATAATGGTAACTCACCTGCAGCTCCAAGGGGTGCAGGAGACACCCCCCTTCCTGACAGGGGCTGGTGGCTAGGTGGGCACTCTTAGCCCACCTGAGCAGCGGTTTGTTGTTTGATTTTTTTCATATAGATTTTGTTGTTGATGCCACCCGCAAAGGAAATAAAATCCGCTTTGCCAATCACTCGGTGAACCCCAATTGCTACGCCAAAGGTGAGATATCTGTGCCCAGGCAGGCCTCAGCGCGGGATGGCTCTCTGGGTGCTGCTCAGCAGGTTCTTGGGGGTCCCAGCTCACCCTGAGCTCAGCTCTGTGGTGACCCTGGCCTCACAAGGAGGGATCGCTGCTTGGGGGTGGCTGGGGCTCCCCGTCCCTGCTGGACACGACCTCGAGTACCACAGCCCCAGGGACCAGCAGGCGGCCAGGCAGGGCAAATGGGCTATGAGACCTCCTGGCCTGAGCTGGAGCTGCCATCCCTGATGTCGCCTCTCTGGCTGCAGTTGTGATGGTGAATGGAGACCACCGGATTGGGATCTTCGCCAAGAGAGCCATCCAGGCGGGAGAGGAACTCTTCTTTGATTACAGGTACCTTGGGGAGTGGCCGGCTGTGGTCTGGGGTGCAGGGCTGGCCCCACTTTCTTTGTGTGAGGAACACGGGAGGTGATTACAGCAGCTGTGGCTTTACTGTCCCACAGGTACAGCCAGGCAGATGCCCTGAAGTACGTCGGCATAGAGAGGGAGACAGATATCATCTAGGCTCTGTGCAGGGCGGTCCCCAGCACACCTTGCTGCTGCACCTTGTAAGCAATGCCATGTTTGCTTCACGCTGACATGACTGCTGCTGTTCCTGTTGCTGTGTGTGTCACAAGCGCAACTTTCCATCCAGACACCCGGAGAGAGGCTCAGGGTGGGAGCAGCTGCTGCCAGGCTGACGGCTTTGCTCTGTGGGCAGTCTCCTGGGCTGGAGGGAGCCCGTGGACTCAGGCAGCTGGGGCTTGGGGAGAAGCTGTGGTCCAGGAGGAGGGACAGCTGCAAATTCCCAGTCTCTTTCCATTTTCTGCCGACGGCTGGAAGGGCCAGAGCGCGAGCCCCGAGGCCCAGGCTGCAGATGGGGACAGAGAGGCTGGCGCTCCCCTCCTGCCCTATCCCTGCGATAGGCTCTGCTCTCGGGTGCTACCTCCTGCCTCCTGTTTTGTCCTGGTGATGGGGACAGTGACGGAGTTGGAAGCCATAGAGAGGTGGCTGTGGGGGTCCCTGGGCTCTGTTTCGCTCTGCCCCGGCTGGCTGGGGCGAGCAGCACTATGCAATGAGTCCCTTTGGGTAGGGACCTGCTGAGGGACCCTCTTATGGGTGTGCAGCTGCAAGCACGTGGGGAGTATGGAGTCAGCGGGAACCCGTGAGCCTGAGGAAGAC